CACAGGGATGCCTTTAAAATATGATGGAACACAAAGCTGATGGAAAGTGTGCAGCCATGCTAGCAGTTCTGTGAGGTTGCACAGTGGTGCTAAATCCTAATATCAGTTTGCTAACATGCTAAAATTGCATTGCTAACATGCTCATGTTAAGCAGGTATAATGTTTTACCATATTGAGCACCTTAGTGTAACATGTTAAAATGCTAAAATGCAACATTTGCTACATAGTATCACAAAGCATCAGCTGAGGCTGATGAGAACGAATTCTATGCATTTAGTCCTAAAGCTAGACAATTTGAAATTTTGACCTGTTGTTGTTGACACTGCAGGGAAAGCTGATGGATCACCAAAATGATTTCAATTCATCTTGAGTGGAACATGAATGTGTGCACTAAATAGGGAGACATTTCACTCAAAACCAAAAACCAACCCCTGGTGGAGCTTGAAGAAAAGTTAGGGAATCACTAATGTTATTATGATACATTGTCTGGGCAACATGAATATCTGTACAAAATTCCATCATTCAGTCTGGACCAAAGCAGTGGATCAACAAACTGACAGACTGACAGCTAATAAGCAAGCGGTGCAAGTTGTAAAAGATTATTATATTAAAATATCACACTATCAAAGTTGCCAGACTGAACTGGCATACTTTTTTTATGCATATACTAGAGCTTCAGCATGTGATTGCTCCATAATGTAGCCTATGTATAATTACATTATTTTAATTATTCAATTAAATGAATAAAAGCATCAGATTGGTCTCACTGGGGAAACGTCTCAAAAAGAGTTGTTTTGTAATTAATGTTAACCACAGCATGTCTCTGAGCTGCAATGAAAAGAAGACAGCTCATTAATAATGCAGAGTTACGCCTTACCATCCCTTGCTGTATAATGTGCAGTTTTCTGTGTTAAATGAGAACCATCTAACTTTCTGTCCTCATCAACCTTTCTGATGATACTGTTCCAGAGCTCCCTGCCTCCCCGAGCCAATTAATGTGGACCTGGAGAATATTTGTAGCTGCAGCCTCTCATACAATTTCAACTCTTCTCAGGGAATCTACTCAAAGTGCTTCTGACTCCTGTGAAATCAATAGAGCTGAGATGCCCTTTTAAGTCTTGATGGTGTATAGCGATGTGTTTTTGTTTGATCCTTATGATTCTGTGCGAGAAAGGAAAAAGTGGCAAGAGAAGTGCGAGAAAATTGGTGGCAGGAAAATCTCTGTTTTATCAGGTCCTGTATGGTTATGTGAATACCCTCACACAAAATAAATGAGGCCACGTGTGTTCTGTTCAGGAGGCACAGTAATGAACACTGCACCATTTTTCTTCTGAGGCTAAATGATCTGTCACACGCTTAATGTAACAGGACAGGCTGTGCAGAACAACTGGCCAATACACTGAAACTGACGAGAGTTAATTTGGTGTCACATGTTGTGTGTTTTTGTCTGTTCAACATATATAAGTTACTAGGAATGAGTTGAAAATTAGTTTTAAGTGTTGTTTTCCTTTTTTGACAAGAAATGTCCTGGATTTTTTGAAATAGCTAGGAAGAGGACATTTTGTTGGGATTATTTTGTCACACATACTGATCCCAATATCAAGAGTAAATGTCCATGCCCAAGTTAATTAGTCATGTTATATGTGTATATATATATATATATATATATATATATATTGATTAATCAATGACAATTTTAGTACTCAATTAACCATCTTAGCCATTTATTAAGGTTATAAAGCTCATTTCATGATTACAATTATTTTGTAGAATATGTATTTATTTTTTACTATAATAAAAAATTAAACATCGGTTTTGTTTCTGACTTTCAATAGGCATTAATCATAATTATAATTTTTTTTACAGTTTATTTTCATATATTCTTTATAAATTGTTTTATCTTTCTATGACTTTGAGTTTGCATTAGAAACTTCTTTCTGCCCTCTTCACCGTGTTACTTATTTTATATTCCTACTTTTACATTTTATTTTAAAGTTTCTATTGTATTTTATGGATCTGGGGCCATAGTTTATGTCTCATGTATGTATGTGGTTTAAAAATGATTAAAGGTGTAGGCATTAGGGTTGTGTTAAAATCTTCCATCCGGCCAATGCCAGTCTAACAACCGGCAATTGCCGATATATTCGCCCATGCATGTGTGCTGCGCCAGCCCACTGATAGACAGATAGATGGCAACTTGTGCAAAAAGCAGAGCAACACATGTCGAACACATTATGTTACTCGCTATAGAGACAAACGTGACAGTTAATCAAAATGGAAAGACACTTTATGTGACGTGCTGCCAACAACCCAAACATTGTGACAGATAATCACTGCGGGCCTGTCTAATACAATGAACATCACTCATTCACTCGTCAAGTTGAATAAAAGCTGCTTCAGCCTGAATTAAACCAGCCTTTGTGTCCATGGTATTGTTTCAGTATTTATCTTGAATATACTGTATGAACTGTCGGTTTATGACAAGGGGGCAATATTCCAGCTTTGTAATTTTTCACAAGAGGCATCATATCAGTGCGGGACCTCCATTGATCTTTGCTCAAATTTAGAGTTACATAAAAAAGATGAACTTCTGTAAAGCCCAAACCTCTGGTCTAATAGTTACTTACTGATTAAGTAAACTGATGCTATTGCACATCAAGTTGCACTAGCATGGTAGATTTATGTGATGGCTTGCTGGTGTAGTGAATAGACAATGGTTTGGGCAGGAGATGTCTGATATGATGATGTCTGATCTGTTCCGTTGGAGAGTCGGAAAATGCTCTTTTTGCCGGTGTTTGTTTCCATTACGGTAATGTCTTGATGCTGTAATGTGAAAGGCCTATGGTGCCTACATTACATTGTGTCTACATTTGGCCTCATGTATGCACGTGTAACTTAACCAATCAATCAGTTAATCAATTAATCAACACTTTTGCAATTGAAAAGTAACATGATCTGGGCCCATAATAAATGTCGTCATGTGCCGAGGAATTTTTCTGAGGGTATTTAACAGGCTTTTCATCTTCTAATTTAGTTAACAACTACAAAGACCGGCACCTTCGTTTGTGAACCTTTCTAAATCAATTTAATATGTTAAATACACACAGCAATAAAGATTAACTGTCTATAAAGTATCCCTCTAGGAAGTTTTATTTTATTGTTTAAAAAACAAAAGACTCCTTTGTGTGCATGAAAATAAAATGACATCACAGTGTAAGCTTGATAACCAAGTAGAAAACCAAGATTACTATCAGAAGTTGCAATTAAAAAGAGACCTTAATAAACATGCAAATTATCGTGCAAGTGTTTGCTTTTTAACTTCCGACCAAGGGACTCTGGAGTGTTTTTGTGTCTTACATTAATGCGTTTTTGTAATATTACAGCCTCTGGTTCATTAGTTTGAAGATGAAAAGGACTGATTCTCTTTTCAGGAGCAACTTTTGAGATAACTCTGCTGTACAGCCAGTCTTTGTGCGTATGTGTGTGTGGTAGATCTTGTGTCTGCATGAGTAAACTTATTTCACACTGACATGATGTACGATGCATTTTCATTGTATTTTGTACATTTATTTTCACTCTAAAATTAACTGTCTGACAGGACAAGGCTGGCTATGCTTTAAGTTAAAACAAACATAGAATGAACGAATCCAACCTTTTTTGTAATCTAAGGGCTGATTGTATCTTTTCAGACAATTTTCAGCTCTGCAGAACTTTCACTTGAAGAAAAGATCTGAAATGAGGTCTAGAAACAACTGTAATAAAACTGGTTGTAATCTTAGTTACAGCTCACTGTGACAACATTGTCAAGGGAAAAGGTACATTTATTAATCTCAAAAAAATCTTCCATTGGACAAATGTGGTCTATCAATGCCTCATGTCAGGTATGAAAATATGCTGATTATTAAAAGTGTACTTATCATGCATATTCTGTAGTTAAATCATTAATACTTACTGAAAACTAAAACTGAGGTTGTAAGTAAAACAGAAAAAACCCAACTGTGTGCATGTCTAACAGAGATCTGAGCAAACTATCAGCTGAGACGTGATGGGTAGGTACTCATATACATGATAATTTGATGCTGCCTCTGCTGTTCATTCCTGCAGTGCAGCTTGAGAACAGATTTCCGCACTTGTCCCATGTTCTTGGAAGCACTGCTCTGTGGTCTGTTCCTGCCACACTGGTGGCACTGTCGGTATGTGAGCGGAAAGCTGTTACGCAGCTCCAACAATTAGACATAATGTAACACAACCCCATCAAGCCTTTTAGAAGGACGTGCACACTTGAGAGCCTCATTTTTAGTCATTGCATACTCTGATCTTTTCATTTTTGTTCGGGGAATGTTGAAAGCTTGAAAATTTAAGTTTAACACAAAAAATGAATTAGAAAGGTGTCTTGTCTGTAGATAAGATTCAACAGGCGCCATCGAGATAGTAGCCTATGAAGAAGCAACATAGTGAGATAACAGCGACAGCGGTGGGTGGGGGGTAATGTTCTGGGCTCTGTGCACCTTGTAAGCTCCTTTGCCTTCACCAACCAGCGTGAGAACATTTTGTGCCCTGGTGCCTGTTTGAAGCCAGCTGCTAACCTGGGGGCTGCCTCTGTCATCTGTGCTGTTGGCTGTGATTGTTTGTGTGAACTGATCCTACATCAGCCTCATGGAGCTGTCTGTTCAGCACCATGGAGCTCTGCTGTCAGCAAACATCTGCAGTGCTGAGAAAAACAACATTGCACAGACTAAAAAGTAGAGTCAAACTTTGATCTTTGTGGTGACGCTACAAAGGTGTGTTTGCATGTGGGTATGTGTGTGTGGTAGCTCAACCAACAGGCATGGTGCATCTGTGTGTACACACTGCAGCCTGATGTGCCCCTTAATATTAGCAGAGTTGGGTGACAGGAATGAAAACAGAGCATCTATGCATAAATATAACAAGACAAATGCATCTTTGTCAGAAAAATTGACAGGATATCACGTCAATGTTTGTTTCATTTTCTTCCTCACCTGTACCAGTCAAGCCCTCTGTCATAGTTTCTGTCGAAAAAGTGCGGCTCTGTTCCGAGGGCGCGCACATCTGGATGTATCCGGATGAACTCCAGCACCGCCCTGGTGCCTCCTTTCTTAACACCCACTATTAACGCATTTGGCAGCTTCTTATTCCCATATTTTTGCGCAACACTCATGTTTCTCAACTTCGTGTCAGCCCAGTTACTTCCAGACGAGCCTGGGGTTTTACTTTGGTCGCGGACATCACTTGATCCTCGCCGGGCAGCAGACTCCTCCAGAGCGGACCTGACTTCCAGCGAAGCGCAATTGTCTAATTTTCCAAGAAGTTTCTTCCCTCCTGCGCTCTTGCTCGGTGGGCATCTTTTCCCCTCATAACCCTGATTTGTCATGATTGTGCTGCGACAAAAAAGAATACTATAGCATAAATAGGTGCAGGACAGTGACACAGTAAATATGAAGGCGAATCTGGCGCTGAATCTGTTGGTAGATGAGAGGAACCTATGTGCCATGTCTCCATGGGTTCAAAGTGCTGCATGATTTTCCATCGGAGTCCTCCTCCTCCTTTGGTCTGCGGTCTGAGACTGGCAATAATATAGGCTCTAAAGTCTGACAGACTGGCATATGAGGATAGGGGTGGCTTCTCGAAGGCATCAACTGCGCGTAAGTCGCGTTATTTCTTTTCATAGGCTGCTGAACTGTGAGAGAAAACTTGGAAGCAGAATATAATTAAAGCAGCCTCCAAGAGACAAAATGTGTCAGTCCTCCTTTAAACAAGTTTCTCTTAAGTACTTTGAAGTGAGTCATTTGGATGAATTACTGATGCCACCGTCTTAAAACGAATCCCAGAGGAATTGGACGCCCATCTTTATCCTCCTTCTCCTTGTTGTTTGTCGATTGTGAGAGCAAAGAAAAAGTCCAACGCGTTCACTGTCTGTGAAACTCTCACCAGCGCGATTGTTCTGCTTTCCTCCGAAGGGATTTCGATGCTAAACCCACCTTTCCCTTTCATAATGAAGTTGTGAAGATATATGCACTTAGGCTACCGGTTATAAATATTCAATCAACCCTCTGACGTCACGCACATGATCATAATTCCATATGCAGTTTGTCTTTTAAAGGAACATCCCGAATATTTTAGGTAAGATCATATTTGGGAATTTAAAGTTGCAACACTTGGCTTCCTGAGTGCCAGTCATTTGTGTAGAGAATCCTTTCAACTTTTGGTCAGTTACTTAAGGATGTCAGAGCTGCAGTGTGTGTATTAACTGAGCCATATGAAATTATGTATTAATAACATGTCTAATTTCAGAGGAATCACACAGGTTTTGAAAGCAGCTATCAAGAGATTTGTAATCAATTTTCTCCTGTGATGTAACAAGTTTGCTTTTTGACTTGAAACAGAATGATTCATCAAGGCTGAGCTTTCTCTGCCTGTTGAGTATTTTCTTTACACACACCTGGGCATTAGCAGCATCTGAAAGTCAAGCTCACGCTAGATGCTCTCTGTTGATTCTGGATGCAGGAATGCAAAGCTTTCAGCTCTTTTAATGTCACGGTTAAAGTTTGTTTCTTTATGGAGGAGTGAACAGTTTATGCAGTGTCTGGATAAACAGCAGCTGCATGTTTTTTCACTTTCTTCTCCTGAAATCATTCTGAAGACAAAGAACATTACGCTGACATTATTTCAGAGCCTTGACTCAATTGCAAACCATCTAGCTTATGAGTAGAACATTTTTCACAATACTGTGAGTAATATTGTCTAACATTTTTGAAAATATAAACCACCAGTTAAACAATATTGCCGTTGATTGATTTTGTTTAAACTAGGTAATTGCAAACAACAAATAGACTTAGACTTAGACTTTCTTTATTTGTCATTTAGATTTGCATCAAAAATGAAATTTCGTTACAATGGCACATAGCACAACAGGAATAGAGGAAGGCAGTATGTACAGTAAAAAAACAGATATCCAAATATCAAACTTTTTAATATAAAAAAAGACAAGAGAAACTCGTAGATAATATGTTGCACAATTTTAGTTGCCTATTGTAAAATAACTTTTGTATATAATACAATAAGAAAAATATGATAAATATCTTTTGTATAAAAGACAGATTAAAATAATGCAATATAAAGATAATAATAAGATAAATATAGGATAGCTTAGTCCTTTTTAGGTGTATGGGTGAGGAGGGGAAGAGAAGGGGGAATGGTTATACAGTGTTCAGCAGTCTTATGGCATGTGGACAGAAGTTATTGTTGAGTCTGGCTGTTCTGTTCCGCAGGCTGTGGAACCTCCTTCCAGAGGCCAGCGGTGAGAACAGTCCATGGTGGGGGTGGGAGGGGTCACTGGTGATGTTTTGAGCCCTGGTCAAACAGAGTTTCTTTGCAATGTCCTGGAGGGGAGGAAGTGAAGTCCCAATGATTTTCTCCGCTGTCCTCACCACCCTCTGTAGGCTTTTCCAGTCAGAGGCACTACAGGCCGCCGACCAGACTGAGATGCAGTTGGTCAGGATGCTCTCTATAGTTCCTCTGCAGAAGGTGGTGAGAATGGGAGCGGGTAGGTGCACTCTCCTCATCCGGTGCAGAAAGTGCATACACTGCTGGGCCCTCTTTACAAAGGTGCCAGTGTGGTTTGACCAGGTGAGAGAGTCTGTTATCTGCACCCCCAGGAACCTGGTGCTGCTGACGATCTCCACTGCTGTGTTGTTGATGATGAGGAGGGTGGCTGCGCTGGTTCTTCCTGAAGTCCACAATGATCTCTTATGTTTTTGAGACATTCAGGATCAGGTTGTTGGTTCCACACCAGTCTGCCAGATGTTTCACCTCCTCTCTGTAGGCCTGTTCATTGTTGTTCTTGATGAAGCCCACTACTGTCGTGTCATTTGTGAACTTCACGATGTGGTTAGTGGTGGACTTGGAGCAGCAGTCGTGGGTCATCAACGTGAACAGCAGCGGACTCAGGACGCAGCCCTGGGGGGAACCGGTGTTCAGGGAGATGACACTGGAGACGTTTTTTCCCACCCGAACGCACTGAGGTCTGTTGGTGAGGAAGTCAAGCAGCCAGTTGCACAGGTTGGTGCTGAATCCAAGGGGGGACAGTTTACTTATCAGATGTTGTGGTATGATGGTGTTGAACGCAGAGCTGAAGTCCAGGAACAGCATCTGCACATGTGTGTTTTTCCCTTCCAGATGTTCTAGGCTCCGATGGAGTGTAGAGGAGATGGCATCCTCTCTGGAGCGGTTGGGACGATAAGCAAACTGGTAAGGGTCGAATGTTGGGTGGAGTCTGGAAACTGTGGTCCTTTACCAGCCTCTCGAAGCACTTCATCATGATAGGTGTGAGTGCTACTGGGCGGTAGTCATGGGTTGTGTTCTTTTTGGGTACCGGTACAATTGTGGCAGTCTTGAAGCAGGATGGTACCACAGCCTGGTGCAGTGAGATGTTAAAAATGTCTGTGAGAATCCCAGCCAGCTGGTCAGCAGATTCCTTGAGCACCTTTCCTGGTATGTTGTCAGGGCCAGCTGCTTTCCGGGCGTTAACCTTCCTCAGGGTTCTCCGGACATCAGCTGGGTCGAGGCAGAGTGTCTGCTCATCTGGGCGCGGAATGGATTTTGTTGCTGTGGTGGTGTTTAGTTCCTTGAACCTCCCAAAGTACTTGTTTAGCTCATTGAGGAAGCTGGTGTTGTTCTCACAGGAAGAGGGTGGGGCCTTGTAGGGGGGCTTGGATGCCCTGCCGCATCCATCTGGGGTTAGTGGGGTCATTGAAGAAATCCTGTACTTTTTGTCCACGAGCGCGCTTAGCTCATCGTATAGCTCGGTTCAAGTTGGCTCTAGCTGTTTTCAGAGCCACCATGTCACCAGACTTGAAATAACCACAGTATACATTATATTGAATGGAACGTTAATGTATTTACAAGTACTCATCATGAAAAGTGGCCCATTTAAGAATAATGTATATTATATAATTAGATTATAATCTATAATTTGATGATTTTACTGTGATGTTGGAGCTGCTAAAGGTGGGGCTAATATTAATTGGTTGTATACTGATGCGTAGCTTAATCTATAATATCACATCTTCAGTACCTCAAAATTGTAAATGAGTAAATGTACTAAGTTACTTTACACCGCTGCAATAACCAATTAGAATCATTTGTGAAATATGGAACATAATAAGGATAAACCAGGCGTGTTCCAAACATCTGTGGAGTTGGCCGGGGCCATTATCCTTAGGTGCCAAAATGTTTACATACAGTGCGTTGGTGTGTACATGATGAATAAGCTGACCAATCGATATGTCTCTTTAGGTGTCTGTGACCTGTGTGGCTGTGTGTCTGAAAGTTCTGGCTCCTGATTGTTGGGCAGGCTTGTGCCACCTCTGGAGTGTCATATCCAGAGACATTTCTGGCAGCCTCATTGTCCACAAGCATTTGCGCTGGAGTCTCCATTCTGCACTCCTCTGCCTCAGCACCAAGTTCAGGCTGATATATTATAACAGGAGTAATTGGAGGTGCAACATTTTGCTCTCCAGACTGCTGGTGGTGAGTTACTGTATGTTCCTTCTCATCTGAGCTGTCCTCTTATAGTTTATTTGTTCATTTCTGTCTCTTCCTTTGGTGAATATGAGGTTTTGTCCTCCAATAGTGCTTTGGGCTGGTTCTCAAGTAGCACAGCATTACATGGCACCAATATGTTCCGATTGCAGGTTCAGCCTCTCCCTGTGCCTATTCAGGCGGTACCTGGTAAACTAGGCTGTTTTTCCCATATAGAGACCACAATATGTATTTGATCTAATATGAGTGCAATTCTGTTAATCCTCCACACTCCGTATATTTTACCCCTTGCTGTAGTCTTTTTGATGGTTTTGGATGCAATGTCATATGTTTCTTTTATTTGCTTTTCATTTGAGGATATTCCTGGTATGAGTTACATCCTTCCTCACCATTTAGGCCAAAGATCAAATCAATTGACAAATGTGGCTTTCTACCAAAAAGCAAAGGAGAGTAACACATTGCCTCACTGTTGTGCAGTTGTAAGAATGTACAACTTTATTCACAGTCTCCCCAGTGTCTTCATCCAAGGTCCACAGCATAGATAACAAGGTGAGATTACGCTTTCAGCTGTTCCCTTGTGGGTGGTAGAGAGTTGTTTTTGAGTTTGCAATGCCAGTGTATTTTTGCAGCTGGATTGTGGTGTATTTTGGCAGAGAAGCCAAATTTCAAGGCAAAATTGTCAGACATTTTCTCGACTGCTTTGTTACCTGATTTGTTTCGGGTTGAATAGGCTTGGGCAAACTTAGTGAAGTTGTCAATAAAATATACTCATATGCTTCCCAGCTTTTTGACCAAAAGTTGGACTCTGACTCGGTAGTGTACCAAGATCTTTAATGTTTGTTGGGGGGTTTCTTTTCAGGGCCAGCACTGCATCTACTTCTTTATCCTTTATCTTTCAGCCTTCAGCTGATATCACTTTTCCAACATAGCACACCTCATTTTTGGAACAGGTCACATTTGTCTGGCCTCAACCTAATTCCCCAGGCTTGCTGATGTTTAAGAACAGACCTCACCTCATCCTCGGTATGCTGTGTGAATGTTGTGGTGTAGACTAAGGCATCGTCTAAGTATGGAATGCCTATTTTGTCCCTGAAACCTTTTAGGCCTTGTAAGCCCCACCACCACCCCAGCATCCACCTGTAGGCTCTGGCTAGAGGTTTAGGGTATTTGCTCATCACTCCCCAATATCTCTATGTAAACATATCTGAGGGGAATGATGAGGTCGGAGCCTAGATGCCAAAATTTAAATATGCTATATTGCTGTAATAAACATTTCAAATGTGAGTTGTCTGACTGAACTACCTCAGCTTCAGACTATCAACAACAACTACTCTTCCTCTATGTGTCTTGCAGTAATGTAACACAAACAACTTACTCTGTCACCTACAAGTGAGTGCAATAGGTGTGTACCCTGTACAAAAAAACCTAAATACATAAC